ATGAAGTGTTTGTCATCTCAAAGATTCAAAGACTGAAGATTTATTTCTGAAAAAATTATGTTTTCTCTCAAAATTTAGTCCCAAATAAAAGTCTTTTAAAACACAATTGAATAGAAAGTCATTTCATTACTAATATATCTATGATTTCTGTAAACATTTGCCGCAAATTAAGTTGATTTTAAGTCAAACTATAAATAATTTGGTATTTTATAAGATAATAAATGATTGAATATAAAAACCTAAAACTTTTCTTTGAAACAAACGGTTTATTGACTTATTTTAATCATTAGTAATGATTCATTACTTTAATCCATAATTTAACGGATATTTAATAAAAATAAATACAAATTAAAATCAAATGTCAATAAATTTTATTTTTGATTTCAAAGGATAACAAGAATTTGAATAAAAATTCAATTTTTGCAAATCAAACACAATTTGAATGCGAGAAACGGTTTACTCTTCTTCGGCGGACGAGTGTCGGCGTCTGCGTCGCCTTCGGCCGCCTTTCCGACCCTTTCGACCGCCAGAACGCGATCGCCGGCGTCTTCTTCGGCGTCCAGAACGCGAACGACTGCCTCCATGTCCTGCCGATCGCTTCCGTCTTCTTCGGGTGTCCAACACCTGTCCGGTCGATCGCATCGGTGTTTCCTCTTCGGACTCATCATCCGATGACATGGGAGTCGTCTGTTCGTCGACTGACTCGTCTTTCAGCACTTCCTGTGACTCACTTTCTTCGCGTTTATCTTCTTTTTTAATTGAATTCATTTTGCAGTCAATCCAAGAATTTTGTGTTGATTTCAACGGAAATAAGAAGTGAAATGATTTGAATTTAAATAATTGAATAATTTATAGGATATAATCAACAAAAAATAGTTTTAATTGTTATATTAAATGCAATGAATGTAATTCTACACGAAATAGACTTTAGTTGACAATTGTTTGAGTTATAATTTTATTAAAATTCAAACTAAACCGAAAACTGCTTTATTTTAATGAATGTCTAAAATTATATGAGAAATATTGCGTTAAAAGTGATGGCAAACCAAGAATTTATTTCTTTAAAGTCTTTATTAATTGATTTACTAAAAGGTGTTATAAAGACATCAACTGAACTAAAGATACGATGGATTCCTTTCAAAACAATTGATTTAAATATTATTAAAGACATTGGATTTGAATCAACAGAAAGTGTTCAAGAATTACACGATTTTATGATTTCTATTAATAAATTGAAAGGAATTGAAGAAAATTCTGTGAAAAGTGATTCAAATGAAGTGAAAAACATTAAAACAATCGACGAAAAGCCAGAAAACCAGTCCAAAGACAGGACTAATACATCAGTTGTGAATCCTATGAGTAAAGCCGATGAGAATCCCTTCTCTGGTGTGAATTCATTAATCAAAGGATTTATGTTTAATCCAATGATTATCTCGTTTCTAATGATTATACTCTCATTTCGACATCTTTTCGCTCACTATTCAGTAGAAGACATAATTGAAAACTGGATTTCATTGTTATATTCATCGCTAGTAATCGTTGTCTTAACTTTGATAACAACTGAAACTCACTATAGTTTTAGAGGTCGTGGAAAAGTGAGAAATTGGCACTTTTGGCTCAATTCGCTTAAAGGGCTACTATTTATCGATTTTATGTTTATAACAAAACTAATATTTGTAAACATTTCGACCAACAGTTTTGGTTATATTAATTGCATATTAATTTGCTGTTATATCTGTCGATTCATTCACTTATTTGTTTTACAAACTATTGTAAAAATAATGAGACGAAAGACAAGAGAATATAAGTCAAAATTAGCCCAATATATCGTTTCAAACGGAATTGATTTTCATTAATATATTTTTTTAAAATTTATTGCAAAACTTTAATATTTAATATTTTAAATAAAATTACATTTTGATATAAATACAATTGATTCATATTTTCACATATATTCGCAATCTATTCAAACAATTTCAATGGATTTCAAAGAACCACAAAAGGGTTTATTTATTCAAACGAATAAAATTTAGTTAAATAAATAATTCAAACATTGCATTAATATTAATACTGTACAACATTTATGCTTTATTCAACATTTAGACTTTAGATTATCTTCTAGGAAATGTGTTTTAAAATTAATATTTTGGTATTAATTATTTTTAATTCAATATGCAGTTAACAAAAAGCTGTAAACATTTCTTGAAATTAAATATATTTAAAAAATATTAATATCTATAAAATTATGTATTATATAAATTATATGTACGGTATATTATTGTATTGTAAACTACAGTATATTATATAACTTTATATAACATTTTACTAATATAATAGTCTTTTGAAGTCATTGTTTAGATTGTTTGCTATAGAAATCTCGCATATATACAGAAAAGTTTTTATATTATAAATACAAAATTTTAATATAATAAAAAAATCTTAAATAAATAATAAAAGTTTGAATATTTTGACGGTCACTATAAAACCAAATTGAAATAAAGATTTTATCATAATTTTCAATGCACTCAAAATGAATTTTAAAGCTATGTTTGCCACTACTTTTCTAATAGCATTTATTTTAACCATACTTTCGATGAATGCAAACGCATTTAAAATCCATAATTTACCAAAAGATGACTTTGTTTTAGCAAAATCTGAGCTCAACTCCGACGACGACTTATTGAGAAGATATTCAAAAGACTTGGGAAAAGTTTCGGGTAATCATTGTTGCAATCAATTTATAGTTGCAAATATATTACATACAATTTGTTGACTAAATATCAGACGATGTCAAGCATTTCGTCGAGAAGTCATTACGTGTGGCCAAAGCCTTGTTGAGAGACTGGCTGTTGAAAAATGTAATTTCATTTTATATATTAAAATAGTAATACAATTTAAATTTATGTTATATTTAATGATAGGACGACGGAAGTGATGTCAGGGATGGCAGGAATGAGAGGGAGGAAAAGGAGCCGTCGACTGGTGAACAATAAGTAAAGCATTTGCTGACAAGATTCACAAATTTCTTGATTTATTAATTTATATAAAAATTATATTAATTTACAAAAATGTTAAGTATTACA